TGCACTAAGGACAAGTTAAAAGAAAAAACCATACAGAATGGCTTGCAGCAATGGAGCTAGGAAATAATAAGCAATGATCACATGTATACACATATTAAACCTTTATTTTATTTATTTATTGATTCAGCAAATACTCAACCATGATATTTTATTTCAATACAACCTTTCAATACAATTATTCATGTATAACTCAGCCTTCCTCATTACAAAGATGACTTTACATAAGTTACAGCAAGATCCAGGTTACTTCATGGTGCTGTTCAGTGCTACTTCTCATTGCACCTTGCAGGCAAATGCCGGGGTCTTGCTCTTCACCTCTTTCCAAAGCCCACGGAGGGCTGCCAACATGTAACACTGCCATCAACAAAGGCACCTGAACTGATTTAAATATTAACAACTTCATGAGTGCTCAATGCTCTGGTCAGTGATTTCCACAGAAAAAGGGCAACACGGAAGTCCAGCCTATTTTCAGACACTATTGACTGAAAATTATCTTTGCAGTAGATGTTATAGGCAGTAAAGATGGGCCCACAGTGGTTTTGGAGGTACCATTAAATTACAAAAGGAAAAAAAATGGTTATAAGTCTCATGGGTTAGAGCATTCTAGTCCCTATTCTGTAATAAATATGGGTCTCTTCTGTCCAACTGCAACAGAGCAGAGGCACAAAAAGTCTGGAATAAGAAAGAAAAAAAGTTCTGAGAAGTGTCAAATACTAACACATTCTTTCCCCATTTTATTCCATGTTCAGGCCAAGGATGTTGCCAATAGGATTATTATTACAACCCCAGCAGGCACTGAGCCACCTGAATATTAGAAACTCCAACACAGGTCACCTGTGTGCTGTTTCCAAGCCAGGGTATCTGCAGGCATCCTAACGGGATGAATTACAGCACTTCACAAGATGGGAAGACTCTGCCATCATGTAGTGAGAAGTGCAAGGGCTCAGCAGGTCAGCAGGAGGGCCTCTGGCACGAGGACTGTCCTCTTAACAGAGGCTGCATAGCAAGACCACATGCTGCAGGAACACGTATTTGCTGGCCTTTGCCAGTAAGACTGGGAAGAAAGGGGCTGACGCTCCTTTAACTGTTGCATCTCTCCCTCCCAAAATACCAATGTCTACGTAAATTATTGAAAAAAAAATATCTTTTTTTTTGGAGAAAATCTTCATTATGCCTGTTAATTTAAATGATGGTTAACAGATCTGTTTTTCATATTACAGAAATCCATTGACACAATGCCACTGAAAACCCAGCTGACACCAGTATCGACAGTAGAAATACTGGCCTATTAAGCAGCATCACATGGGAGAGAAACAAAGCATTTACCAGCTGTCTTCGGATAAAGGCTGGTAATACTGTATAATGCTTGATTGTGATGTGTTACATCAACCTTTTAAATACAAATCAGAAGCTATACAGCACACACCTCTTCTGCTCAAGATACGTGGTGTGTCCAACCCCCTCACACCACCCGGCTTCTCTACTGGAGGAGAACCACCATCACAAAATTCAAGTGGAGTGCTTTTCCTGCATGAATCCAAGCAGCAATAACCTTTCTGGCAATCTGATATTACCTGAATTCAGTGGGGTTTGTCCCTGTTAAGACAGCACAGTATGAAATTCAGAAAGTGGTGATATGCAATAGTTCATTTTATCTCAGAGTAAGAATTATCAAATAAAAGTGTGTCAACAGACATAGTAGAATGAGAAACATGAGAGTACCAATGAACAAGGCATTTGTAAAAAGAGGGGCGTCCCCATTATCCAGGCACAGGCTCTTTGAATTTCTATAAACATCCAATGCAATGTAAAAAAAAAAAAAAAGTCTGGAAAAGGCAAACACTGTTACTCCTTGAACAGAAAAGAAAACAAGCCACAGATAAAGCCTGGAAATAATTTCCAAGCCTTACTATAAACCCCATGAGAACAGTGGCCAAATATCAGACAGAAGTAGGCTGTTCTGTATCTTAACAAAAAGGTATTTTGATTTAAGATTACCTTTTTCATGAGAAAATTGAAAGAGTTCAGAAACAGTGACAGGAACATAAGAGTCTTTTTGAAGTCAAGGCTGACCCAACTGTTCAGAAAAGAGAAATACTTTGACCACTCAAGTAAAGAGCAGAAATCCTGTTGCAGTTCATGTGTCGTATCAGGCTTACAAGATAGAATTTTAAAAAAATGGGTACTTTGCCTAGTAGTAAGTGCAGCAACAAAGCTAACGACAAACTAAAAGAAGCTGCAAGAAGAGATGGGAACCACAAACTTCCCTGCTAGCAAGTGATGCGTACAAAGGCTGTGCAGCAGAATGAGGTAGGACTGGCAAGAGGCATGGTTTCACAGGAAACTTTAGCCCACTAGCAAGTTTCAGTGCTCTAGCAATGTAATAATGACAGCACCTGCAATTCTCATGGTTTTTAAATGAATATGGACACTGCTTGCGTCTCCTAATTAGTAAGATTTAATAGTTGGTGAGGATGTTTTTTTTAAAAAGTGCCAGCACTCATTCACTTACTGCACACTGCACTCCTTTCTAGTCCTAGCAATTTAAATGTGAAATTTTCTACTCCTTTGGTTGATGAAGTTAAGCCCTCGAGAACAGGGGAGGCACTTGTAGTCTTCTAGGTAGGAATTTAAATTTAAATTATTTTTATTTTTCAGCAAAACAGATAATGCTAATGTATACTGTGTGCCTTATCTTTAAAAAAAAACAAAAACAAACCACAGCCAACAAACCATATCCAAGAAGTTTGTTCCAAAATTTTATTACATAAAAAGTTGATTGTCAACTGGAAATTTTTCACAAAGTGCAACCACATCTTGTGTAGTACCATTGGCAGACTGTTTTTTTGTGAGGACAGCTAGGTTAAAAAAATATAAAGGTAGCTTAGAACATAATTATGGCACTACAACAGAGAAGCCACTAAGCACGGTGGTGAAAGGCAGCAGACATTCAGCTGTCATGAAAGCATAAAATTTTCCACGTACCTCTGTACAGTACTAAAAAAATAAGGAATTAAGAGCTATAATCATCACTCTCTACTTGATGAAATTAGTTTTAAAGGCAGCATCTGAATTGCTTGTACGTAGAGCCAAAAATCTGTTACTGGAAGTCTGATGCGATGCAAATGCAGAATTTAACAGCTGCAAGGGTACTTGTAGGACATTAATGACCTTAAGTAATTTTTGGAAGGTATTTATTTTTATATATACACGTAAGAGATACTGTGTTTGGGCCTCAAATCATTACCAAATAACATCTGCTTATGTAACACTGCACCAAGACAAATGCTAGGGTCTCAAACTTACTAGTTTTAAAAAGTTCTTTCGGAGTAGTTATGAACATTATTATTTGTTAGAATATTTAATTATTTGTTGAGTGTAAAGAATGAAAAAGTGAGAAGAAAAATGGAAGATAAAGCTCCTTGAAGGCAGTATTTTCTATTTGATATCAAAAAGCAACCCTCAAGTCCTTATTCCTATTAAAAATCTAAATAAACCCCAGACACTTTAAAATTTAAACAAGCTACGTGGTACAAAACATGACTGCATTTGGCATAGGCAACTCAATCACTCAAAATAACCAAACAAAAAACCCAGTCAATGGACTGGCTGAATTTCAAAACTGGCCCCTTCTTTTAATTGTGAAGGGAAAAGACCCAACCTACCGGAGATTTATGAATGACTAAACCAAGTATCTATCCTCAAAAGCCAGGCTGTAGCAGAGTAATTGTTTCTCCTCCTTGGCTAATTTGCTTTTGTATTATTTGTATACTGTTTTGCATTGCTTAGTTCTTTAGCTCAGGACAAAGTCAATTTGATCAAAAAAGAAATCATGGTAATGTTTCATAACATTAGGAAAACTACAGAAACTGCATTTCCTCATGTTTCTGATCATAATCTGAATTGTCATCTCTATACCACAGATTTAAGTTTTACAAAGAAAAAAACCTCATTAATATTTCATGTTTATAGTTTCATCTGACCTCTGCTCGTCTCCTGAGATGAGAAGCAATATTCTTTAAAGTTAAGGGAGGTGCAAACCCAGAACAGTTGACAAAATGATAAATTAGTTAGGAACAAGAAATGGACTGCACATCTCGCTTCAATGCAATGTGATACCCAAATATCTACAAAGACTTATCAAGTCCCCTACACATTGGGATTAGTAATAGAATATAGAAGTAATACAGTTAAACCTGAATAAACACAGGATTTTCATTCTTCCACTCAAACAGGCACAGACCTGTTTAATGAAGTGCGGCCACAAAGGTTTCTGTGATCCTAAATTCATACAAATATAATTAAAATTAAATAAAACCAATCACCTGGAACTTTCATCAATATGATTTAGTTCTTATGTACAGAAACCAAAGATGAGTTAGTCTGTCTCCCGAATACCAAATTAAATGCATAATTATTTAGAAGTTTTACTACTCGGTGAAACGATGAGCTTAGTGACATCTTTTATTTTAGAACAAGCATTCAGCAAGTCACAGCTTCCCACTTTTGATACTGAAGTATTCCACAAGATCAACCATTATGGTTCAATTAGGACCTTTTATCCAAAACACTTGGATTTTAGCACCTTAAATAAAGAGTCATAGTAACATTTTAGTAGTATAGAATGAAGACAGTTAACGCTGTGCTCATCCTCTGGAAAATGACATGGACCATACGTACTAGGTGCATTTAGTCCTTCACAGACAGTAAGGCAGAAGGGAAACAATTCTAAACAACACATTTGACTGAATACAATCTGAATAATAATTAAACCTTCCCAATTATACAGTCTTACAAGGAGAAATCCTATTTGCTCCCATACATCAAACTTCATACTATTTAAATCAAATGTTCATTCACAATCAACCATGCCAGCCAGGAATCCGTAGAACACCCCCCACCCCCCTCAAAAAAAAAATAAAAAATATCTGGTTATTAAACATCAGTAAGTAGTATGTCTAACTCAAAAGTTTAACTCTGTACTGCAACTGGTGCTTTTCCAATGATTTAAACAAACCTTAAACCAGTAAAACAAATTAATTTCAGAGTTAAAGCTATTTCTTCTAGCTCACTGTCTAGATAATGGGGCATGCATAACATTTGCTTCCACAGGCACAGTTTTTTTGGCAGCAGCAGCAATCTGAATGGCATTAATCTGACTTTTCCCTTCACCCCCACACTGCTCACGTGGGTACTGCAATTCCATTACCAGGCCAGCATCACTTCTGATAGGTACAGCATCTCCCTTCTGCACTGACTTGGAGTGCATTAGCCAAATATCTGCCTTGGCTTCTACCATGCTTCCAAGTACTTCTGTGGATTTTGGGGGACATACTGAAGGGGTTTTGTTTATTTTAAAGAAGCAGGCAGTCTAACCAGACATGTCCTAAATGCCATAATTTCAGGCATCTTTGGCCACTCTAACACTATCTTGTGCCAACTGAGTCTAGCAAACTGGCTTCCAAGAGAATCTTTTATCACAGTACCCTGCTATCTAACAGCAGCTATGTATCAGTGACCAACTTGCATACCCAAAATGAATGCAGCTACTACAGATGAACATTGGTGTATTCTGAGACTGTGTTTTCTCCTTTTTCACGTAACTTTGTGATGTTAGACACACAGGTTCATATGTTAAACAACAACAAAAGCATAAAAAAATTACAAACTAAAGTAGTCAATCGCTGGTATTACACATTACTTTTCCTGTAACTAAACAAATGGCCAGTATTAATAAGTAAACTGGTATATTTCAACATAGAAGTCCTTTAACCTCAGTAATCTCTGCTTCCTTCCTTCCCCCCAGTAAAGCCAGGAATTGTATGGAGAATTAGTTTCCCTTCAAGGAACAGCAGAGCAGCATTCAGTCTGGTCAACGCGTCCATCATAGATCCTCTTTCTGTTTGGTTGCTCGGTTGTCCTCTTTGATGCTATCAGATTTCTTGTCTGCATCTTTTTTCTTCTTTGCTTTTTCAGGTTTTGTTTTGTTTTTTACTTTCTCACTTTCTTCTGCTCCTTTGCCAGGATAAACCTGACCTTCCAGAGTAACATCTGCACACCTTTCTTGATTTATCAAAAAGTCTTTGATCTCCCAGGCATAACCACCATCACGCAGCATAAAAATGGCACGATTTGAGCCAACAATAAACCTAGAATAAAGAGATTGGGTTTTTTTCAGTTAGCTGTGTGCCTTTCAAGCACTACAACATTTTGCTTAATTCAGAGCACCTCCACAACCAAGGGGATACATTTAAGAGCAAGAAGTTGGTCTTGTTGTCGTTGCTTGGGGACAGGGACAAGAGAACAATTTTCTAGTACAAGTAATAATAAAATGTATTAGTTTTATAAATAACCAAGGAATAAAGAAAACTTCAGAACAAATTCAGCACTATGTAAAACCCACTATTGGGCTTTAAATTTGCTTTATATGCTTGCTGCAACCCTCCTCAGCCTTAATTCAAAAGCACAACATTCCTCTCCTTCAAAATGATTCTCAGTGCAACATTTTTTATCCAGGGGAACAAAAAGCCTTTTGTGGTGACAAATCTCCCAAGTGTGATGTTCTCCATCAAGCATGTAAAGGCAAACTACTGGAGCTAAAACTAAAACGTAATGAGATTAAAAAAAATTAGGCTATGTGTACATCACGCATAAACGTTAGAAAGATTTTTGCACTACACCAGAACTTTTGTAGCGCGACTTAAAACAAATTAGTATATAAAGTGAAACAAAGGAATAGTGATGGATGATGGAAGTAGGGAAGGGCACAAGATGAACAGTTGAAAAGATTTTCAGGAAGAAAGAAACAAGAGTTCTGTAAAGGCAAGAATTTTATTCTTTGCACACAAGAGCTTACCTTTGCACATCGTAGTTTGCATTGAAGAGACTGCCCTGCCACAAGCTAGTTATTTCTTCTGTCTCCTTTTCTGTGGGATTTCCCGACACTGTGACAAACATCATCAAAGTCTTCCCCTTTTTCGTCAGCTTCAGGATACTTTCAGGCTTGCCTGGATCAATTTTTGAGAAATCTATTGGTGCTGGAGGCCTCTTGTGTTCAGGAAGATCTCCTTCTTCAATTTCATCATCTTTCTGTTTTGAAAAGGTAAAGAAGGCTTTGAACTCAGCTGTTCCACAAAGCTGTTTTTTTGAAACTGGCCATTGTTTTGAGAATAACTCTGCTTTGATAAAGTGAAAGCATTGTGGAGTTTAACGATGGAGATTCTCAAATCAATAGATCTGTATCAAGACACTTCACCAAGAGCACTCTTGCCACTTATAACCTTCCCCTCAAAAATAATGCACGTTTTGACACTGACAGGTAGAATCTCATTTTACCATGCACCAAGAAGTATTTCAGCAGCAAGGCTAATTCAGTACAATTCTATCCAGGTACTTCATAAAATAAAACTTTTCTTCACAGTTCAGAGAAATTTATTAAGTACACAAGATGGACTGAGATGTTGCACTAAAAAGCTTCATGCACACACACACACACACACACACACTTTAAAAAAAGCATATTGCTTTCAGAGGTCAAAATTCACTTCTGGGAATCATGGGATCACTTGACTCCTTACTTTGTGTCTTTAAATAAAAAGTCAAGAATTCAGAATTACAATGCTCATGCCACAGAAAAACTTTTATTAAGGGTTTAATGACTTTTTGAATGCACAGATGAAGAGCAGCTCACATTCTGGCAACATAATCACCAAGAGTAAATCACTGTTATTATAAAATAAAAACCACAAACAAAACCCAACAAACTCTTGATGCCTCTGCTGAGGTAGACAGGTATTTAAATATTTGGAAAGGCAGAATTCAAAGTGCTGTCCCTTAAAACAGCTCCTGACAGAGAGGAGTGAATATAGTGCAACTTACATTGAGCTAGAGCTTGATTTCTTAAACAGTATCAAAGAATTAAAAAGAAAAAAAAGAAAAAAAAAAAACCACAGAAGTCTCACACTGGCATCCACACAAGCACTAACTAGTAAATCAGCAGGAATTAAGGCAGATATTTTAGGTGTTGTTTTGACTTCCAACATTTAGTGAAAATATACATCAATCCATTAGGAACATGAACTGTAGCAATATCTAACAATATTCCCTTCAGGAGCCGAGCTTGATTTTTAGATTTTTATGGATTACCTTCTCATCTCTGCACATTCACATATACAAATTCAACATCATCGTTTTACAACATCCCACTACAGGGAGCATCTCATGCTCTCTAAAGTTTAAGGTTTCATACAAGCGACCTTTTCCCATCTCAGCTACGTAGAGTTTGCTGTCTCTGAGGAGGGAGTTAAATTTAGTTACCACAGAATACAATTTGTAGAAGCCTTAGATGTTATCCTTCCTTTCCTTACTAAATACATATCTCTTTCAATTTTGCAAGTCTGAAGCATGCTTTCAGGTAGTTCACATGCCTTTGAAAATTCCACATTAAGTGAACTGGGAGCAAAGGAGAGCCCTGCTGCTCTCACTAGGTGGGAACAATACTTATTTTAGAGGAAGCTGGAAAATGCTCATATTGGTAAAATACTGTGAAAATACAAAATCTTACACGATTAAATGAAAAATATTCTGCAGAAGCAAAAGCAAAACAATTCTAATTTCACGCCAGTTTGGCTAGTGCAAACCAACTTACTTCAGTTTTGAAAGAGAAAGGTAGAAACAAATGTTTCCAAATAGACCTTGCACCAATCAGATATGGACCTTGCAGTTAGTGACAGTACAACCTGGTAACATATATTACCTATTTTCTCCTTAACTATTCAACTAAATGTTCATAAAGCTGTGTTGTTACAGTTTAGAGATATTATAAGCAGCAGTCAAAGCTCCCCTACACAACACTTTCTTGATCCTGTACAAACCATCATGCAGTTTTGTATTTACAAAGGTATCTACAAAGTAAAAGTCTAGAAAAATGTAAGATTTTGCTTTGAAATGTCTAGCAGATTCATTCAAATAATAACATAGATACAGTAATAACTACATATTCTTTCCCCTCCTCTCAGCTCCCATGCTCATACATTTCTCATCAATGCCTTGCGTTTTTATTTTTAAAAATATTAGCAATGTATGTCACCTTATTCCTTACCCTATTCAACAATCTTAGCTCAGAGTCAAGCCTGAGAAACCATAACCTTGTAGCAATAATTAACTGTTCTAAACCATATGACATTTCAGTAACAGAAAGACCCTCCAAACCAGATTTTCAGTTGTTTCCAGCTCCTCTGGACTCAAGGCTGCCAGAGTCCCCTTCCACAAGGGAAAGCCCTGGGTGGCTTCCTTAAGCTCTAGTTGTGCAGCTGAGCTGCTGAAGCAACCTCTGTATCTTTTCCCCATGCCCATTTTCCACTAGATCACTCTCACAGTTCAGCAGGCAGTCATGCATAAGGTTGTACTACCACAGTGCAAGGGGCAGCACAAGAGGCAGAGGCTGGTTCTAGGAAGGCTGCTGGGGCCACAGCCTCAGCCTCACCAGGCTTGCAGCTGAACCCAAGGATATTATAACCACCATCCTCCAATGCTTTTAGACTAAGCGACAGGAAAATAAAAAAGTATTAGGAGTCATCTCACTCAGTTGAGTCATGACACTTGATTCTGTACAGATCTGTGCCCTGTGGCCCTCACTCATGAGCATAATTCCTGCTCTTATACAAATTCATAATGGCCCCTTTGTTCCTCATCCCACTCCATCAAGTCCACTCATACCCTTTCTTCTCCTCTATCCTCCAGCCACCACCCCCTCAAGTCTTTCATGTTCCTTATATATGTCCTGACTACCATCAGGCAAAATGCCATACAGCTGACCATCCCCATTACCAAACAACCATTAATTGTTCAGCCCTTGCTTCAGTAACTTTTTTCTTCTGGGGCTCTGGCCACACGTGCGCTTCCTCAGTGGCAATGCCAACCCGAGCAGACAACTCCCCAGCTGCACAGCCGCATCTGCACGCAACACGGCTACAAGGATTTGCGCAGCTCATGGTGAACTGGATCAAGGGACCTGCTCCAGATAAGGAGGAAAACCCCTGAACAGCATCCTGACCCTGCCTGCCACCATGGCTGCAACAAAATATACAGCCACGGAGTCACCACGGCATTAACTTGAATCTCCCTGCCAACCAGGCCCAAGGCTGACATCCTTCCTTCTCAAAGAAATTACTCTATCCGTATTACACGTACAAAACCTAATTCTTCACCTTGCCTTACAGCTGTAACTGGTGTTACAGAAGACAGAAACTTTTCACTCAATTATTATTTCCTCCAGTTTTTGTGCAAAACTTTCTGAGGAAAAGCCTCATGGGAAAGTATAAAAGACACTGACGAGTGCTTGAGCATTTACCAGAAGATGATGGTAGACAAAAATAGTGAAAAGAACTGAAGAGTGACTGACAACCACATGGAGAAAGACAGATGGAGAACTGTCGAAAAAAGTGAAAGCATCAGGCTGATGGGGGTGAAGGGGGCCACGAGAGAGCTGGAATTAGAAGTCATTACCGTGAGACGTGGCATGGAAAGAAACACCCAAAAAACCCCAACTACGTATCAACTCTGTAAACACACAATGAGTATTTCTCCCGCTACCCACCCTCCAGCCACAGAACCAGTGTCCCTGAACACCCCGAACAGTTAAGCCAGGCCAGGCCCTCCAGCCCCACCCGGTAACCCCCACTCCCCCCGCGAACCCGGGGCCCCAGAGGGAGGGAGAAGCCCGCCGCGGGCCGCGGGGGAGGACGCCGACCCTCCCGCCGCCC